TTTTTTTTTTTTTTTTTTTTTTTTTTTTTTTTTTTTTTTTTTTTTTTTTTTTTTTTTTTTTTTGGGTTCAATGGTCACTAGAGGAGCTCAATTGATAATAGAAAACTATAATTATTGTTATTTTTTTAATTAAAATTCAATACCGAGGGTACTTCCAACCGGAACCAAGATTTTCATGGAGTTGCCACAGGACAATCTAATAAGTCAGGTGCTGGTAGCCTTCTTTGAAACTGTTCAGGAACATAGATCCATGGGTATACCTATAAAATGGCCTTCTCTACGAGCCTACAAACATAGTTTTGGTTTAGCTTCCCAACTAAGACTTGAGGAGTTCTTTCCCTGGGATTGAGTGAACAATTTCATAGTCCTCCATGAGTCGCCTAAAAATGCTCAAACTAATAATTGTAGAAAAATAAAGGAAAAATTATTATTATCTATTTATTTTATTTAATTTTTACATTTTATATAATTTGTGTAAAATTTGCATTTACCCCAGACTTATCAGCCAAAATACCACATGCAAATGAAATGGATCCATTTTTTTTTTCATTCGCATATTTTACCTAAATCTTCTTCCATAATGGTACGGAACAATAGTATCATTGGAGTACACGACTAACTTTAAGTATAAGAAGCTGAGTAGGCGGATTGGTCCGAGTGGAGAAAAAAAAAAACAAAGGATTGAACTCAAAATATTTTCTGGTTCTGAGAAATATTTACCATCCAAAAAGAGGAAAAAACGGAGTTTTTGTCTAAAGAAATGCCTACGAATTTGATTGGGAAGTTCAGGGAAAAAAGAAGGAGATTCATTAGCTCGTCAGACTTGGTGAGATGACGGAATCCATAAAAATTATTCAACAAGCTTTGGAAGGAATTCCAGGGACCGCCCGAAAAAGGGCCTAATTCAAGGTACGTAAAGGGAAGGGTGGGGTAGGTCTTTCACTCTTGTTTTTTTTACGTCAATGGATGAGAGTGAAGCGAAGGCACGAGAGGAGTTCCTTCCTGCCAGGAGAGCATGTAATTGAAGAAAATCAAAACCACACCAAGCTAGGCTAGGGGCAATCATTACATATGACTCTTGACTATCAGGCCTGTCCTTTAGTTACGGTCGAGAATCTATCTTTTCTTTCCTCTTCTTTGTCTCGCGTCTTCGCCCCTTAACTAAAAGCTTGATTTTCCTAAATATTGATTAGCCAGCTCAGATAAAGATTCCAGCTATTTTAAAGAAGACGAAAGTTATGTCATTAAGCGTTAATGAAACACTAATCAATGAATTTGGAGTTGGTTAATTAGTTTTGAGATACCAAAATCGTATTTTATTTACTAATTTAAACCAATTGAATAGAGTGAGAGGGTAACTTATCTAATTTATTTAAAACATTATAATACCATATCAATAAATAATAATAATAATAAAGTAATAATTTAAGAGATGGTCGTTGGTTTTTATATTTTAAAATGGAATTTGAAGTTTAATTAATGTTCTCTAATAATTAAATTATGAAACAAATAAATTTTTAATTGCCAAAGTTTTAAATTAAAAAAAAAAAAGAGATACATAGAATCCATTTGATAATGTATAATAATAATATTATTATTATTATTTTTCTTTTTCTCTCTTTTAAATTTACCAATCAACCTTTTGGATATATCAATAATAATAATAAAAAAACATAATTTATAATATATCAATAAAAGGAGATTAATGTGTGTTAGTTCATGTACATTTTATAGCACACGAGAATCCAATACAATTGTGTCATTAAAAAAAATAAAAAATAAAAAAAGAGCAAATTTAAAATGCGTCTACTAAGGAGAGGTTTCTACACTCTTATAATTAATGTTTCGATGTGAAATCTCACAATAAAGCGGATAAATAGTATTAGAGTAAGTCACCAGACAGTGTAAAACACTGATTAATGTCTTCTTCATAATAAACGCGTTTTAAAATAGAGTTTGTTTTTGTGTGGATAATAAAAAAAGAAACGTAGATAGTGGAGTACAGCATTATAATGTATGAGAAAACAGTGGATTGCCCTCTAATTATCTCTAAATTAATCCCATTTTTTTAAAATTAAAGTTAAACCAATCAGAGATTAAGCCACAGGTAGTGGACATTGCATTATATTTTTCATTGGTTACTCTTTAAAGCATATTTCTAATGGAAATGTGACCAACAAACCCTAATTCCCTTTATTTCCTTTAATTTATGAAATTAAATTCTTCATTATTTATTCTCCTTTAAATCTATGCATTAAATTAAAAAAAATATCTTTTAAGTCAAAATTATCCAACTACTCTATGACTTCGTTTCGACAGCCTAACGTTTAAGGGGAAGAAGTTAGGTATATATCGTACACCCCTTTATTTCCCACAAAAAGATATAGTTTAGGCATATCGTACATTCCATCAAAATAAACAGTTTTGATAATGACAAAGTGATCGAATCGAGTAAGTTTTTTTTGGATCACTTTTCTAATATATATATATATAATAGGAAGGTGGAGGTCAAGTTGAAAGGGCATCCCTTCACTTTAAGGGTTACTCTATCTCGACTTCTAATTGACGTGAGACATTATGGATAATTAGCTCAATATTCTGCTCCAATTTGCTAAATCTAATTTTTTCGTTAAATTATCTTTGACATTTCTTTAGTCACTGCAACGGAAAAATAATACTCAATTTTTTGAAAAATAAAAGAGAAAAGTTTAGGGTATTTTTATTTTATTTTAATTAAATAAATTAAATAGTTATAAAATGGTTTAATTATTGCAGTTGCTTAGATTCCATGTTATCAACATGTTTATATGATTAATATAATTTAAAGACATTATTTTTTTTCTTTTTCTTTTTGTTGAAGAAATTAAATAAATTAAGTTTTTTGAAATAATTATATATTAAGTGGTTTAGGTTATCCTAATGGATGTCTATTTGAGATGTAATCTTATCATAAATTCTATAATCTTCCTTCCTTCTTAAAATATCATATTCAATTTCACATTCTAATACCTTAATGTCTCTCCATCATAATCCAAATCATTATTGTCATTATATTTCTTAATCAACCTATCATTTATTAACAACATCAAAACGTGTTCCGATACAACGCTTAAATCTCTTCTAATTTGTAACACGGTTTGATTTTGACTATAACGAACTTTCGCACCCAATCGTGTTGGTTCATCTTTAACCTTTTTGGACTTGGTAGGTTATTAGGTGAACTCCTTTCGTGACAATATGAGATGAAAACCTCACCCTAGTAGACGCGTTTTAAAACTGCGAGACTAACGACGATGTTAGAAATCACGGGTCTTCACAATGATATGATATTGTACACTTTGAGCATAAGCTTTCATGGTTTTGTTTTGGGATTTCCCAAATGACCTCATACCAATGAAAATGTATTCCTCACTTATAAACCCATGATCATTCCCTAAACTAGCCAATGTGAGACTCCCTCCTAACAATCCTCAACAGACGATACGTAACGGGCCATAGCGGTCAATATTTGCTAACGATGGTCTCAGGCTGTTATAAATAGCTTCAGAGCTAGACACTGAGCAATGGGTCAATAAGGACACTGGGCTCCCAAAGGGTGGATTGTGAGATCCTTGGTTGGAGAGGGGAATGAAACATTTCTTATAAGAATGTGGAAACCTCTTCCTAGTAGACGAAAACGGTGGTCTCGAGCTGCTACAAATGGCTTCAGAGGCCAGACAACATGCAGTGGGTCAGTGAGGACGCTAGGTCCTCTAGGGGGTGGATTATAAAATCTCGCATGAAATGGAGAGGAGAATGAAACATTTCTTATAAGAATGTGGAAATATCTCCCTAACAGACATGTTTTAAAACCGTGAGGCTAACAGCGATACGTAACAGGTCACGGACAATATGAGTATGTACATACAGATATGACTTGTTATTAAAAAGAGAGTTGAATAAAGCAAACTCCCTCCCGAAAGAAAAGGGGAAAGACGAAGAGAATAAATGTAATATATAGCCGTCCAAATTTCTTATATTAAATTAATTTATGATATATTCATATTCCGAATTATATTCTATATTGAAGAATTAAGCGTATAAAAAAGATAGGTTCATAAAAAAAAAGAATTATATTCTATATTGAGGAATTATTTTGTAAGCATCATATATCAAATCAATATTACTATTTTCAAAATAATATTAATTACGAAATATTGTTTAATTTTTTTATTTGATGTTTTTTTTAATAACTTAGTTTTATAAATTATATTTATTACATCCTCTTGTCTATACTTTCAACATAAACTTAAATGATCACTTTACCTTAAACATAACTTATTGATTAGTCATATTTTTTTGCATTAACTACATTAATGCCAAAATTATTTAGTAAGATATTATAGGTTTGTAAACATTGTCACGCCATGTTTTCATTCAAGTTGATATCGAGTTTAATTATAATCGAGAATGGTTTGTCGATATTTAATCTATTTTTTGAACCCAACTAGCCGAAAGAATAGGTTTTTATTTATTAATACAAAGATTTTTTATATTATTAGTAATAAACTTCTAATATTTGAAAATGAGGATTAATTTGAGAAAAGGTAGAAACTTTTTAATATAAACTTTTCTCTCACCTACTTATGGACTGTTTCTCTCTCTAGAAACACACTATATAATTCTCCAGTTTCAGCGCATTGGAATCTGCCTAAAATTTCCTCCCATTTCTCTCTCTGAAACAGAGAGAGAGAGAGAGAGAGAGAGAGAGAGAGAGAGAGAGAGAGAGAGAGAATGGTAAAATTCTCGAAGGAGCTGGAAGCTCAGCTGATTCCTGAATGGAAAGACGCCTTTGTCGATTACTGGCAACTCAAGAAGCTGGTTAAGAGAATCAAGTTGTCGCAAACACCTAACCCTCCTCCACCCTCCGTCGCCGCCGCCTTCATTTCTTCCCTCGCCGGAAAGTTCCGCAGCCTCCCTTCCGACCACCAACTCTCTCAGGTACCCATTTCATATCCCACGCCGTTTTTAATGGCTATACCAAATTTGACGTTGGGATTTAAAATTGAAGTGATATTATTGTTGGGTATTGGGGTGGCATGCTTCCTCTGTTTCCCCGGAATCTGAAACCGCCAAGAAAATCAATATGACAATTAAAATAAATAAATAAAAAAAAACCCTTTTTGATTTATATATATATATATATGTTCATGATATCTCTCCACGAAACCATCGTGATTCATTGGAAAATGACGCTTTTCTCCACCTAATCAAAAACCCATAGCCATCCCAATTAATGTTCTTTTTCTTTTGGTAATTATTTCAGGTGAAGAAGAAGAAGAAGAATGACAGCTTTGAAGATGGTGATCCTAATGAACACCATGAAACTGAACTGTCTCAATTCTTCTCCGAAGAAGACGAAGTAAAATCTTTGATCATTTTTATTTATTGGGTTTTTTTTTGTTTTTTTTTTTTTTGTGAAAATTAAAAAGTCAAATCTAATTATTTTTCAGGTGAAGATATTTTTTGAAACGTTGGATGAAGAATTGGAGAAAGTTAATGAATTTTATGGAAGTAGAGAGAGTGAGTTTATGGAGAGAGGGGATAGTCTTAGAGAACAGCTTGGAATTTTGCTTGAATTCAAACGGATTCTTGAAGATCGCCGCCGTAAAATTTCGCCGTCGGCATCATTTTCCCGTTCCTCCTCTACTTTTTCTCCACGTCACTCCAGTTTTTCCGGTGATCCCTCAGATTTGTTTCCATTTTTGGTTTTTTTTTTTATAAAGTTCGGTCAATTACGTCACTCTCCATACTTATTTTCCCGCCAATTATTTCTAAGCTTTAATGGTTGACACGTGGCGGGTTAATCCTGAATACAGAGAACACAGAATCAAATGAAACGTCAGCAGAAGTATCGGAGACGGATGAAGCAATAGCGGCGCTGGAGAAGCACGGCGTAACGTTCATTAACGCCGCCGTGAGAGGCAAAACGAAGAAAGAGAATAAACCCATGATGGCGCTACGAGTGGACATTCCGGCAACTACTCCGTCGAGAACAATCTCCGCCGTGATGGGGATGTTATGGGAGGATCTCATCAACAACCCAAAAAAGGACGTCTCCGGCGACTCCATTAGCCGTAAAAAAATCCAGTGGGCCGAGAAGATGATACGTGGTGCCTTTGTTGAGCTCTACAAAGGCCTCGGCCTCCTCAAAACCTTCAGGTCCAAAATTTTATACAAATCTTTTTTTGTGTGGGGCAAAAAACAGAGCTCATGGTTTGATTTCTGTGTGGCAGCTGGCTCAACATGAAGGCCTTCGTCAAGATCCTTAAAAAATTCGACAAGGTAACCACTTAGGCACACCGCTAGCGGATATTGTCTTCTTTGGTCGGATTTTTCCCTCAAAGCTTTAAAACGCATATGCTAGAAGAAGGTTTTCACAACCCTTATAAATGGTGTTTTGTTCTCCGAACCAACCAACTAAGGTAGGACATCACATAATTAAAAAAAAAATTATGATAATTTAGGTGTTTTTGGTGGAACAGGTGGCGAACCAAAAGGCGTCGGCGAGCTATCTTCAAGGAGTGAAAAAGTCGGCCTTTATCAGCTCCGATAAGGTATGCCTGAAAAGAAGGAATTTAATTAATTAATAAATGAATATTAATTTGGGAAATGATGTGTTTAATGAAGGTGGTAAGACTAATGGACGAAGTGGAATCCATATTCACAAAGCACTTCGCCAATGATGACAGAAAAAAGGCAATGAAATATTTGAGGCCTCAGCAGCCTAAAGATTCCCACATGACCACTTTCTTTGTTGGTAATTTTGTAATCGTTTAAACAATTTGAACATAGCTTAGCAAAGATAAGATATTTACCTTTTGAACTCTCGAATCGTTCGTTGGTTTCAGGGTTATTTACGGGTTGCTTCATGTCGTTGTTCATTGTATACGCATCGTTGGCTCATTTGTCTGGCGTCTTCTCTGGTCCAAATGAAGTTTCTTATATGGATGTTGTCTATCCTGTTTTCAGTATGTTTGCATTGCTAAGCCTGCACATGTTTATGTATGGCTGCAATCTCTTTACCTGGAAACAAGCAAGAATCAATTACAACTTCATTTTCGAGTTTCAGTCAAGTACGGCACTTAAGTACCGCGATGCTTTTCTTATTTGCACTACCACCATGACTGCTGTGGTTGGAGCTCTTGTCATTCACTTAATCTTAGGACTCTCTGGTTTCTCACCTGTCCAAGTTGATTACATTCCGGGACTTCTTCTTCTCGTTAGTTCTTCGATCTCGAAATCACGACAATTTATCCGTCTCTCACATTGTTCTGGTTTTTACTTAACTTCCTTCTTCATCTTGTTCTTCAGATTTTTGTTGTCCTTCTCATATGCCCGTTTGACGTGTTCTACCGACCGACACGCTATTATTTTCTACGTGTGTTTCGAAACACGGTTTTCTCTCCTTTTTATAAGGTAGGCAGGCAACAGCAGTTTCTTTCTCACTACATCATGTGTTCGTCTTTTACAACTTTGAAACGTGTTCTTCTTTTCAGGTTCTGTTAGTTGACTCTTTCTTGGCAGACCAACTTACAAGCCAGGTATATGATATGATATGAATGCTTACACAATGAGTAAGAACTTACTGTTGCTGCAGCTTGTTAATCACTTTTGATCTTTGTATGTTGAAAGATCACTCTGCTGAGGCTCATGGAATCCGCTATCTGCTACTTCACTGCGGGTTCGTTCGGCATGCGTCGAGGTGAGGTCTGCAAATCCGGGACATTATACTGGGAATTGGCTTACCTCAGTTCATTTTTGCCGTACTATTGGCGTGCAATGCAGGTGATCTCTGAAGTTCTATCATTTTTCTTACTAGCTTTTTAATCGATAATTCGATATACTTGAACTGACACCGTGTTCTTTCATGTTCTATTCTGCGGGATCAAGTGTGCAAGAAGATGGTTTGATGATAATGACTTGGACCATTTGGCTAACTTGGGCAAGTATGCATCAGCCATGGTGGCGGCCGGTGCCAGGCTTACATATTCTCGGCAAGACACTCACTTCTGGTTCATAATCGTCTTGGTCACTTCCTTTGTAGCAACAATATATCAGTTGTACTGGGATTTTGCCAAGGACTGGGGAATTCTCAACCCGAAATCTCGAAATCCATGGCTTCGAGACGAACTCATCTTGAAGAGCAAAGGCATCTACTACCTGTCAATTGTGAGTTCTATCTGCAAATGTGATTATAAATTCCATTCAGTACAGTAAGGTTATTCAAATCAGGTGATAAATGAAATTTATTTGCAGGTTTTGAATGTGATCCTAAGAGTTGCTTGGGTGGAAACAGTGTTACAGTTGCATAAATTGCACATTAGAAACATCGAGTCGAAAATGCTCGACTTCCTGTTGGCTTCGCTCGAGGTTATCCGACGAGGGCATTGGAATTTCTACAGGTATAGCACCTATCTTGTGTACAACCATCTAACAACAACAGAGCTATAGGCTCAATCTTTCTTGATTTGCTAACCACACATTTTATACCGCAGATTGGAGAATGAACAACTAAACAACGTTGGAAAATACAGGGCTGTGAAGACAGTTCCTCTACCATTCCTTGATGCCGACTCCGATGGCTAAGACCGATTTATGAATGTACAGGTCTGGTCCCTAACAAAGCTGACCTGAAGGAAGGGATGAGGATGGTCAACATATACTAAACTATAATTAAGCTCCATCTCATTCATCCTATTGTTCCAATTCACACTTGTAAAGTACAAAGTGTAATTTCCGACGCATGGTCCCAAGCGACAAAACTCTCGCTCGGCTCCTCGACACATAGTAATTTGATTGGTAAGTGTAAGGTAATCCTATTTTCTCAAATTGTAAGGAATGCTTGTTTCTAGTGAAACGTTAGCTCTGCTCGAGCAGCAGTTGAAACTACCCCGAAATCTGCCCCCTGTGTGTATATAGTACGTGCTCATGACAACTCCAGAAGATACCAAGTTAGAGTTGGCTTACAATTGCAATATCCTAAGCAACAGAACTCATGTACCTTGGAGATTGAAATTCAAAACAATGAACACCAATTTGGGAGCACTTTCTTCTCCTACCTTTGCTTTAATCTGTATGAATCGTTTGGAAAATTTTTTAGGGTTATAACAGAACAGACATAATATAGCAGAATTAACAACAGTTCATGAGGAAATAGAAAAAAGAGACTGAATGAACAACAATAAATGGATAAGACATATTTAACTGCATGATCAAGCAAACAATAGACATCTGAGGAACCTACTTCAGTAACAATGCAGCTAATCTGTTCGAGATACAGTAAGCAGTGGATTGGATAGTAATCATGGGATTGACACCAACAGCAGTTGGAAGAACACTTGCATCACAAACAAAAAGCCCTTCAGCATCCCAGCTCTCTCCATTTTCATTGACAGCGCCGTCTTTTTCAGAAACCCCCATTTTGCAGCTCCCCATCTGATGAGCTGAGGTATAGATATTCCAATTTTCTGTCAGTGATAGTGGCCCTCCCTCTGCGGATATCATATCCAAAAACTCATCCAATTCCTCCTTCCCAATCCCTTTACATTCAAGTCTCTGTCCATCACTCCTATGCGTGCCAACTTCAGTAGCTCCTGCAGCTACCAAAATCCTCAATGACTGTCTTAACCCCCTCTTGAGGTTTTCCCTGTCTTCTTCACTCAAATTGAAGCTCACCCTTCCCTCTGATCTTACTGCCCCTGATCCCGAATCCCGGACGATTGTTATCAAATGGGAAATTCTCGAATACTTGAGCATTCTTTGCTTAGTGTCAAGTCCAGATATCCAAGGAAACAACACAGAGAATGATCCTGGTCCTAATGAAGGAGTCTCTATGATGGTTTTAGAATTTGATTCGGATCCTTCAGAGATAACCTTGTGGAGTGATGTGATTATTCCACCCTCATAGGATTTTCCCTTGAACTCTGAATTTGAGTCTGGAAAGTACCCCCAAGCCATCAAAACAGGGTGGAGATGAAGATTTCTGCCGATGTGTTTGTTCCTCAGCCCACTTGAAATCATCAATGGCGGTGTCAAAAGAGCCCCACAAGCTAAGATGGTAGCTTTGGCTTTGATTTGCAGTTTCTTGGTGAAGTTGTCACTCCAAACATTTGCAAGCACTCCCAAGCACTTGCTCTTCCTCACACTTCCAGTTTTGTTCCTTTCCAATATGAATCTCTCAGCCTTACAATTTGTTATGATCACTGCCCCATGATTCACAGCATCAACTAGCCAAGTAGAATCAGTCCCTTGTTTCTCCCCCCTTCTACAACCATAGCCGCAGGATCCACAATAATGACCGCTTGGGGAATTTCTTGGTACTTTTTCAACTTTAAGCCCCAAATTTTCACACCCTTTTCGAAGAACTTGATTCTGAAACCCCTCTTCATCACAGTCTTCTGAAACCCCAAGTCTCTTGCACACAGCATCCATTGCGCTTTGATATTCAGAGGTTCCAAAGAACGGAATCTTGTGGCTCTCAGCCCATTCCTGCAAAACGTGATTTGGGGTTCTGATGCTCGCCGACCAATTAACGGCGGAGCCACCGCCGACGGTTGAACCTGCCAGAATCAACATTTTCCCATCATTACTTGTGAAAATCCCACCTGCTTCGTACAGTTGATTGAGGGAAGGGCCTTCAAGAGATGAATAATCAGATGCAGTAAAATAATTCCCCTTTTCGAGAACCACCACTTTCTGGCCGGAACTTGCGAGAAACGCCGCCGCAACGCCTCCGCCGCAACCGGACCCAACAACCACCACATCACATTGGATAGAAAGGGTGTAGCCGTCGTCTCCAGTGACTCTGAGACCCTTCTGTAAGAAGGATTTTTTAAAGGATGATTCGGTTTCCTTGTTGGGTTCTATGATTCCCTTCTGGAGAGGCCTCTCATCGGAGGATTTGGACGGATTCTCCTCAATACCCGGCCGGTATTTTACGGCTTCCCATGCTGGGAAGCCGCCATTGACATCAACCTGTGTCAAAGCAATAAAAGTTCATCCAACGATTATGCCATATTTTCCCTGAAATTAAGGATTTGTTTTGTTTACTAATTTCACTTATTTGTGTCTCTGCTCCAAAAAACTGTATTTTTAATCATGAATTTTACATAAAATATTGTAACAAGAAGATACATCATAGTTTTTCTGGTCTGGACCTATCTTTAATGTGTGAAATAAACCCTCTTGAATTTGCTGAACAGAAAGTGAAATATATTAAATGCAAATATATATATATATATATATGTATGTAATTTCATAATATATTTGCTTTCTATTTTCTAATATATATTCAACTTTTTTTATAAATATATTTTCATGACCAAAATTTTAAAATTATATGGACTAAAATTAGACACATATGAATAAATTTTAACCAAATTAAAAAAAAAAAAAAAAAACCTTAGTATTGTACAGTACTAAATATGTATAAAAAAAATGAGTTTCTACAAAAAAAAAAAAAAACTCATATTTTTTAATAAGAAAGTTATGACATGGTAGCCAAAAATATATATATCTTAACCATTAAAACAATAATAAATGAAACTCATAGTTTGAGATGCCGTATTTTAGAGTTCAATTTCCTCCCTTATTAGCATTTAATGAGTTTACTTTAAATGTGTGTATATTAGAAGTTGGGTATTAAAATCAACACTTTATTAAGTAGGTATGTCTCTGTCCCTCTTTATTGCATTTTCCTAACAATACTCACACATTTACATTTTATTCAATAATTCCATATATTCACTCCTTTTTTTTTAATCCAAATTAAAAAAAAAAAAAAAAAAAAAAAAACAATTGTAGAGAGAGAGATGGAGAGATTACCCGAGAAAAGAAGGTATAGAGGACAAGAACTCTGATGGAAGCAAGAGCAGCTCTAATGGGCGTGAAAACCTTATTCTTAAACCATCTCCTCAAAGCTTCCTCTCTGTTCTCCAATGGCATACTCGAGAAATTGCAGATATAAGGCCATTTCCTGCAAAAACAGAGCGATCCACAGAGCAGCAACGTCCCTAGCCTCGTACCTAGCAACCACAGCACCATCCGCACCAGTATCACGAGTTCAGTCAATCCTCTTTTCGCCACTGTCTCTGCAACCTAATTTCAACTTCCATAAACCTAACTTAAAATCCACATCGAATCAAAGAACAATATCTACATCTTTTTCCGCACCTCATCCGGAATCGGAGATCGCGAACCGGACGCCGCGTAAAACGCCTCGACTGCGGCCGCGTCGGCAGTATCAATCTCATCGCTGCCGTTGTTGTTTGATGAACCGAACGGCAGAGGAGGAAAGATCGTGTCGCAGATGGTGGCTAAAGACTCCATCTCCGCCACGGAGAAGCCATGCGTGAACTTACCGCTCCTTGTTCCTCTCAACAGGGGATGGCACTCCGATCTCCGCATCATCGCTCTGTAGATTGATTGAATATGAATATGAATATGATTATGCCTCTGCTCCGAGACGAGGGGTCTCTATATATAGTTGTGTTGTGTTGATCACAATTCAAAATTCAACGGATTAAAACATATCTTATTCAACAAAAAAAAAAATTATAATACTAATTTTTGTGTCTTGATTGGTTAAAACAAAATGAGTGATGGATACATTCTCCAAAATTTAAAAATGCTAGAAATAAATTTTTTTTTTAATTATTTGTTATTTTAATGACGTATATGCTATTAATGTTTATTGAAATATTGAACAAATAAAACATACAGAATTAAATAGACACAACAAGAATTAAAAGAATTAAATAGACACAACAATTGTTAACCATTAATCACTCGACTTCAACCCAACTAATTAAACATTACTGCTTCTTATAGTGAATTTTTAAAATTAAGTTTATAAAAATTATTTTTATTTATGGTTTTATTTTTACATATCGTATAAAAAATAAGATTATTTTTATTGAAATAAAAATGCATCATTTATTCAAGTAAAAAATAATCATCTATTTAAACATATTTTAATGGATAGATTTTACAATTTTGAAAATCCATAATTTGACTATCCTACCCACGTGGAATAAAATTTAAAAAAAAAAAAACATAATTGTTGTGTTTTATATTTTCAATATTTCAATAGACATTCAATAGCATTTATGTTAATTTAAAATAACAAATAAAAAATATTTATTTCTAGCATTTTTAAAGCAGAAATGCTCATTTTATCTATATTTTCTAAGTCTACCTACAAATACAACTACATGACTTTATATAGTCTCAAAATGAAACTATTAAAGGCCTTCTAAGAGTGTAACATTCATACTTAATAACCATAATTAACGATCATGTAATTGTAACTAAAGTAAATAAAAAGTCTTAAAATACATTAATAAAATACAATAACTCTAAATTACTCTAAATTGTAATCCACCCAAAATTTATAACATGAAACTTCATTCTTCTTCAATGTGGCATGAATTAAAATATGTTTGATAATTTCAACAATATTTTCTTCACATATTCATTAAAGTATATTGTATGATTGATATTTCTTGGTTCATATCAGTGGCTTTAAAGGTGGTGCATTATGAGATCCCAAATCAGTTGGAGAGCGTGAACGAAGCATTTTTTGAAAAAGTGTGGAAACCTCCTCCTAGTAGACGCGTTATAAAAATTTTGAGAGAAAGTTCGAGAGAAAAAATTCAAAAAAGATAATATCAACTAGCGGTGAGCTTGAACATTAATCAACTACCTCTACTCATGTCTACGAACATAAGACATCCTTAATGGGCAGTTAAGAAGTAGGAGGGATCCCAATAAATAAAAGAGAGGGCTGTGGAAAAAGGAGGAAGGTGGGGGACTCTTCTTGAATGCTCTACTTTTCTTTTTGTTGCCTCATCTCTCACAAAATGGATTGCTATTGTTCTTGTGATTATTTCAACTACTTTTTATACATTAATTTAAGATTCATTTTAACGAATACGACTCGTCACTATTAATAGGGCGGGGCAATATTTGGCCTTCTTGTGTTCTACTATAGTCCAAACCTCCTATTATTTGCTTGCATATCAATTCACGTGCTACG